CGTATAACAAACACTTGAAAATGTGTTAATTCACCCTCTTTCAACCGCTGATCTAGAGGGTAATTGATTCAAAATTATGGCTAAGAATACATTGCCAACAATACGGACACATCTACACTGGCATATCTGTACAGACCAAAGGTTGCTCCTCACAGACTAATCCAAAAACTAGCAGTGCGAACAGTTTAATGCACAAGCAAAGCTTTCAAGACACAACCCACCTAAGTGACAAGTAGCAATTGTGACATATATAGCAGGGAACATGTTCAGTCTAATAAGCCTTGTTGAGAGATCAGAGTTTATTAAGCTGGGCAGAATGTCCAACAAATATAGCTTCCAGTCTTGACCTGGTAAATGTACCCTGTCTGTGAAATTACTGACTAAGGGCTTGCTAACTGGCATGCCTATATCATGCTTCAATTTACAATGTAGATGAGCTCATAATGCCTTTTATTTCAGCATGCCAAAACTGGGAAGAATGACTTTTCACTTTAAACCATGTCCATATATCTCTTTCCTGGAGGAACATAAGTGTACTATTTACCATCCCGTTTGCTGCCAAAAAAAATAATCAATGAGTTTTTTAGCTTTTAACAGATTCAAAGTTTCAGATTAGACACAGGATTTATAACCTAGCTCCACTGGTGATTCTCCACCACTTACAAACAGAATAAATTACAGAGGCAAAGGCACTCAGAAGAAAGCACCACAAAAATCCAACTTACCTTTACTGCAGCAGTGCATGGGTTTAATTCTATATTTTTAAAAGAACAAGAAGGATATTCACCTGGATACACTTCATCTTCAACCTTCCATTTTTCATCTTGCATGCTACACAAATACTGAGATGTTGTTCTTGGGAAGCGATGGTAGGCAAGACGTGAATACTTTTCTCGAATGAGAAGAGCTTTCACCAGGCTCTTGGCAGCTTGTTCATAATCATCAACTGTAACCTGAAAGGAAAGCCTGGATAAATACTGACAAAAATGAAGCAGCAGTTTTAGCAACAAACTGAATCCACACTGGTAACAAGGAGACTGAATTTCCAGAAATGTAAGTGTATGTGGCTTGACCATAAGGATCTTACCCAAGGTCTCAGGAAGCCAGTGACAGAAGCAGAATCCAAATACAATGCACAAGACATACACAAATTTTTTTTTTCTCCTACCCATTTATTTAATGCCCAATTATGTTTTTATCTGTTTTATTTAAGAAGTATAAAATGACCTAATCTTGACTTCAACTGTTTTACAAATCAGTGTGTTCACAAAGCAATTTACAGTTTGTTGCAGAGTGCCACAATATAATGACATTTCATACTTTATATACATTAGCTGCTTGTGGTTTGGGATTTCCTCCCGCCCCCAGATACAGAAAGGAGAAAAAAAAAAAATGGTTTCTTACCCCTGCACAGTAGTCCCCACTAATTGAAACTCTCTGAAACTCTGGTACATCATATGGCACTTGGACTGGCAGAAAAGCACTTGGAAGAACTGGTGTTGCAGGAGACAGAACAGGATTGGCTGATGGTGCTTTCCATTCCTGAGACGGAATTTGTAATGACAAAGACTGGGATCGAATCATCTTGAAACTTTTCTTCCTACAAATTCATAGCATAAAGCATAAAATAAGCCATGGTATAAAACATTAAATACACTGGAAAATGGATTACAGCAAAGAAATCTCTCATACCACAGTAAAAATGCTGGTCACAAAATATTTGTGCTTTTAGATTTTTTTCTATTGATATTTGACATGATATATGCTACACACAATTGGACTTACCCTCCACACGAATACAATATGCCATAATTTATTTACAATCACTGTAAGATGCCCTAAGGTTTGTTTTATTTCACTTCTTACAAATTCAGTTTCAGTAAGTCACTGTACAGAAGGAAAATGCCATCACAGTGCTTACTTTAGAAGGAGTTGATTCTTAGAGACTTGTAGCATCAGATTTCATGAAGTATCAGACCGAAACAAGTGAATGTTACCTACGGTAAGTTGTTATAAGTTATCATGCTATTACACACACTTTTCATTCTTCCCAAAACACGCAGGATTTAAAAATTCATCTAGTTGTCAGACAAAACTTCACATATAGTCATTCAGTTAAATTTTTAAGAAAAGGGATGAGCACATAGAGTTATTCCTTAGGTAAGTATCTGTTGAGACTTGAGCAAAAGGCTAATGTTGGTTAGAGTAATAACGTGGCATGGATTTGATAAGCAAGTCCATTCCTCCCCTTAGAGCACTAAATGGCTCACCCCCATAGATTTAAAAACTTTTGTCCTTTCTCGGCAAAACTGTGATAGGTGTGTACCTTAGACAAACCAGCTAAAAAAGAATGCTGTATTTTTCAGTGAAGCAATTGTAAAACCTCAAGTGAAGTTTAGGAATATCTCTAAAGATTTAATTAATTTTCCTTACTCGGTGTCATGGTTTAAATGTGTTTAAATGTATTTTAAATATTCATATAATAAATAAATATGTTATAAACTACCTGTGATATCACTTTCTTTGCACTGTGGAAATAATCCCTCATTTCATAAACTAACTGCCAAAAGCTTAAAATGTTAGTAAGAACCAAAGAAAAGACAAAGAAAAAGGAATACTGGAATACTCTCTGGAAGTTGCATATTACTTCTGTGACATTGTGAAGAATAAGAACATGCAGTGATGGTACGATTAATACCCTATGACCAAACTCCATCCTCTCTTAAGTACTTGTAGCCATGTTTGAAATCAGTATGAAAGACTTGAAAGGCAGTGTTGGATCAACTGCAACTGAAGACAACAGAAGTTTTACTCGTGTAACTGTCCTTGAAGTACACTTCAGTCCTGTAGGACAGGGATGAATACTTGTTCTATTCCCACATGTAAAAATAATACATATAATATCCCGCTCCCCACAGTTAAACTTGTATAAAATTTGAGGTACAGTTTGACAGACTACAAGACAATTTCCCAAATTAAAAATGAAACTTGTAAGTTCAGGAGGAAAGATATACCAAATAGTTGTTTGAATAAAAACATCTAGTTTTCCCTTCTGTGCTTGTTTATGTCTATGAACAGGCTAACTGGGAAACCCACTTGCACAATTCAAAACCAGAAGTCCCAGCCTGTATCACCAGTGCGTCATACCTTAATTTAACTGAATCTACTCTTCTCCCTTCTGTTCTGAAATATGATGCCAAGCATTGCCCAACTGATTGTCTGCAGCTAACCGGGTACATGTGTTTAGCCACTGCTTTCAAAGGCTTCCTTGTTTGCCTGCTTTTTGATGAGTCTGTACACATCCAAGCCATTTGGTGTCAGACTGCTGCTGAGCTCACATGACTCTAGGAAATAGCCTACCCAGTCCACTGAAGTTTAGACACTGGAACAGCCTGATATCGGGGTAAGGCTACCTCTCTCACAGAAGAAAATCATAAACCAAATCAAGTTTGGCTTCATTAGATTCATGGGCAACTGATTCATGGGTGATTCAACAGCAGATTGTACTTCTTATTTTTTTTAGAGAAAACTCAAAACGTGCACTTTTATGGCTGATGGTGGTTAGATTTTACCTCTGTGAGTTAAAGAAACCTACTAATAACCTCTTTATGCCAAAACCACTTTTTACTTTCTCCCTTGATCTTAAATATCTATATGTCAAGTCTTTGCTTTCATCTGTTTTTACAGACTAAAAGAAGTATCATACCACTGTTGTTTTCTCTGTATTAAAGTTTTCCATTTCTCTGAATTAAACTAGAATAAAGGAGAGGGGGAAGAGGGGGGGAAAGTGTTTCTTTTTCTGACTCTTTTTACATTAAGGAGTCTTAGGTTTGTGTTCACTTCTACCCAGCTATCCTGTTTGTTAAACTTGCATACGCAATATCTGTGCTATTGCTGGAAATGCAGCTGAGACAACCTCACCAATCCAAGCTCCCTAGAGCCCATCCCCACACCTGCATAGCATGGAAGGACATCACACAGTTGCCCTTGGTACCTGCTGTTGACCTTTCTGCTGAAGTAATAAGAGGCAGAATATTATTTGCCAGATATTTTAATATTAACTCAAACTCATTTAAAAGACTATTTTCCATTAAGAAAGCAACTACTGAACAAACCTTTTAGCCGTTTCCAAAGACTGTTGTTCTGCCAATTCCTTCTGCAGTTCCCTTTCCTTGGCCTCTTTCTGCCCAATAGGGCAGTCTTCAGGCACAGTGAATAGTGACAAGGCATCTTTGCTGTCTTCTTCTCGGAGAACTTTAGCAAATACCTTCTCTGCTAGAAGCCGCACATGCTCATCAACCTCAGAGATGTTCAGTTTTGGAAACTGTCTGGGCATCTCGGCTAATAGGGAAGACAGTTGACAGAGTTATAACTACAAGAAGAATAAAGATATGTGGAGTGGGGTGTTTTTTTTTTCATGGTATGCCTATCAAAATTTACAGCTTAGAGCAAAAGCAGAATAAAGTAGAACAGCTACGCAGAATTTAAACTGGTATGCAGTACACAAGAACTACAGGTATGCGCTGAACATCTTTACTTGTGGAGCTATGCCAATTTGTAAATTAGGAACTTCTTGGTATAGTCACGAAAATTCCTAAGATATGTATGTAGAGATGTGCCAGTGGATTCCGCTTACTTGCATAATCAGATAGACTATTATTCCCGATATAATGTATACTTAGCTGTATGTACTTGCACTGAACTTGGAAATCACATTCACTCAGTTGCCTGCCTTCTTCCCTGCTCAGTGACTTCAAACGAATTTTAGAACCACAAGCAAGTTGGAAAAGTAGGTCGCACATTTCTAGCTCACCCCATCCTTTTCCCAAGTAAGAAAGTCATGGAGCTGCTGTGAAGTAAAACAGTTGCACAACAGGCAAATACGCTGTAGTTTACTCAGTGACTTTCCCCCAAACCCCCCATTTGTTTTTGGTAGTTCATATGCTGCTTTTGAATTCTAAGTGGGAAGGAGACAGGATATGGACTTTAATTTCTACTTGGCATTTAAATATTATTTTTCAAAAATATGTGTTATATTTTAATTTAAATAGCCTTTCATCACAAAATATTTTCATTTTGTTATAGCAGCACTACTGAAAATACCATCTTTAGTGTTTCTTCTGTAGTTTCAAGGCTTTATTTATGTTTCATTCTCATACAATCCAAAACGTGAATTTTGACATATCTGGTAGCATTCTGGAGGGAAAAAAAATACACCGCTTATAAGCTACAGACCAGCATTATTTATTATGTACTATAAAGCTTTTTGAATGCCTTCAGTATGATGGAGTTTGTAACAAATAAGATTAAATTCTTATTACATAAGTTAAAAATAGCAATGAACATGTCACAACAAATGGATCCAAGCGCTGCCAGAATGCGAAGTCTGGGTCCAAAATTGGCATTTCAGAATCCTTTTTGGTTACAAAAACACAAACATATTTTATAAGAGAGTATTCGTTTAAATAATGATGTATGCTGAAAGTCAGCATGGAGCATGGCAGTTTTTAATCACTCCAGGCATAACTTATCAGGGCCCCCATTACAGTATTTCTGTAGGCATGCTGCAAGTTTCACATGTTGATATGCGATCCTTTTGATATGTGATCCTGTTGTTTTCAGCCTAAAAGATTCTAATTAATGTCCACCTGTTTTCACAGTTGCTTTGAGAACACTTTTGCTTTTATTCTAAAAGCAAATATAGTATGCACAGGTGACGAGAGATAGATTGGACCATAACATGGCAATGTAGCGACCATCTGCATTATTTTGCATTCTTATTTTATAAGAACCAATTCCCAGCCCAGTGGAAAAACATCATTAGTTTTAAAGAACTGTGGATCTGGCTCTATGCAGTTTTTCTGCCTGGAGAGTATTTGTTTTGCAATTAGTATCAAGTCTTCATAAAAATCAAGTCTGACCATATAAGAAATATAAAAATACATACACATTTAGCTGAATGATTCAACAACAACGCACTACGATGTCTTAGAAGCATCCAAACTTAGATTCGGTTTCTCAATTTCAAACCTCAGTGAAGTCATGGGAGTCTTTCCACTGACCCCAGTGAACACAGTTGTCAGCAACAGTAACTGCCATACATGCAGTTGCCAGCAACAAGGGCCTTTTGGGCCACTTCAGCCAGGCAAGAACAGTCTTCGTAGTTACCCAACTACAGTAAGAATGCTAGCAATAATAGTAAAACATGGAATGTTTCTTCTGCTGCTAAATCAGTAATCAAATTATTTTCTGTACTAGCTGACTGGGACAGGAAAAATTAATCAGTTGTATGTTTATCGTTGGCTGAGCATTTTCCTAGTATAAATGAACTTTTTCTTAGAGAATTGTGATCACAAACAGAAATGCAGTAGGAAATACATTGCGTAAGAAACCACACTGTATTTTAAATCATTACAATACGATGGTGAAGAGTCATAATGTATAGATACAAGTACAATCCTCTACTAAGACTTGTCTTTCTTACAGAACCTGATCTCGTGTTCCCCACTCAAGCAAATCGGAGACTAAGGCATAGAAGACTCAAAGGTAGGTTCACCCACATCACTGCTGGCTGATGTCACTGAAATGGGTTTAATAAACCTAAAATAGTGGTGGGGCACTTCATGCAATACTCATGCAAGCTGCGCCATCCTGAACTGGAAGAGGGATGAGGATCTTGTGTCCAGTATCCTTCTTACAGAAGTGCTGTCCTTTACCCAAAGTAAGCGACTGGGAGAGCAACAACTAGACATCTGAATGGGATGGAGAGGGGGTATGAATGCCATCCAGAACCCAGCAAACGCTCTTTTCCTAAAGAGCATCTCTCACACAGAAAGGCTGCTTTGGTCGCTCTGTAGGTCTGCACCTTTGTAGAAGACAAGAGAGCTATTTCTCTTGAAACATGCTGCATAAAGAATGATGGAATGATTATTTAAAAAGCACTTATTGATCAGGGATTTAATGGGCTTGAATATGTAACGAGCATACGCCATGAAAACAACAACCGCCGCCG